TCTATGAGAACCAAAATTGCTTCTCGTATTTTAAGTTATAGAGGACTGTTTCGAGATTCAAGTTGTCAAAGGATTTTGGAGTTACGTTTCCCAGCCTCCACCTTTAGGCGGTCTCGTGAGTTGGATGTTCAAAACATTCCTTTTCGTTTTATTGAGGACAAATTAAATGAATTTAGTCGACATACCAATGCATATTCTAGGATTTAGCTACAGGCTCTGAGCCCACCTTGGGGATGTAAGGAAGGGGTGGCAAAGTGTTATCGAAAATGCCATTGACAGAAGACCAAAGTGAATGAGTCTTTAAAATAAACGCATTTCCGTTAAAAAATGCTATCTCGACTTACTAAATCTTTATTCTTGTTAGAAGGATAGTAAAAATGAATTAAGTCCATATGCCTGTTTGACAAATGTTAATTTTGCAGCATTTCTAAAACTAGATGAAAAATTCTACTCTATTTTATAATTTTTAGCATTTAGACGAATTAAAGAGTTGTTTCAAAACAGCGTATATCTAACGACAGTTTGCTTCATGACATTTATATGACAGCTATTTGAAGTGAGATTTAATTCTTTTAGGAAGAAGGAGGATGTGGGAGAGAGAAGGGCAAAGAGCGAACAAATTGACAGGTGATTGACCGAACACAGAAGATTGCAGCCATCTGCTAAAACGATTACTGCTCTTTTGATCGCCAACAAACTTTCACTGCCAAGGCGTCCAGCTTTTCTTAAAGTTGTTGACGTACATTACTGCTGCAGTTGAGTGGCTGCTTGGAGCATTCATATAAATACAAAATTTCCAGGGCCTTGGGTTGAAAAATTTACACGGGAAATTGAGAAAGTTCTTAATGATAGCAGTTAAGTTAATACAAAAGTGGGCTTCATATCTTCAGGGGCTCATACTGGAGTGATTTTATTAAAAAGATGGCAAAAAATTTAGAGCCATGACCGGCAATTATGACTGTGAAAAAAATTTGCAGCTACTCATCAAACATTATTCCAATCCCTTCTAACTAAACCATCCCCGATGAAATAAATATCTAGAATTACTTTTAACCTACACTCAAACTTCTTAAAGCTTTTAAAAGATCTTTATTTTTCGGTCAGTTGTATTAACTCTGATGCAATTAGCCGTTAAAAGTGATCTTTTTTGCCACAAATTTACTCAGGGTTTTGATTAAATGGAGTAAATGCATTGGTAGCTACAAGTTTTAATAGGAGAATTAAGTCACTGAACATCACATCTTGATGTCAACAGCATCACAAACCTGATTCCTAGCATTCTCCACGTAGGCAACCCCTTTTTCCCTACTATATAAAGCACTTCATAAACACAATCAGTATTTTGACCAACTGATGAGACAAATTTTGGTGTATATACGAAGTGAGTAAAAATTAATAATGCCAGAAATCGTCCAAATTCTGGTAATTTTTCGAGGAGATTGTAATCCCCGTCGATATATTTTGCAGCAACGGAGTTACTACTATAAACGATTCGAGTAACCTCATTAAGGAAGCACGATTTTACCCTGGTTAGCCTCCTACCTCCGTCAGTGCTAAGGCGCGTCCTGAAATAAATATGACTTTCCCTTTCCCTAAACCTATTTGGCCAAATTTTAGTAAACCCACCCGACAAAACGTAGCAAGGAAGAAGGTGGCCATGCAGAATGCATTGCTGCTTATTGCTGCCTCTGCTACTGCAACTGCCGAGCCCAAGAGAGCTTGTCTTTCGAATGTGCAGGCATGATAATAGGCACGTACACACACCCACAGCCGTGTGCATCTACCTCTTTCTCGGCAGGAGTCTGCGTCCGATGAGTCACAAGTATGCAAATGTCCGCTAGGATTTTATGCATGACGGGCACATGGCGATTACTACATGCATACATACACGCAAAGGCATGCACGAAAGCCAGAAATCATCTGTGTTGGAGATGGCTACACCCAAACGACGACCACGGGGGCGCAAAAACCGCAAACCCATGATGCTTCAGGCAGTTTGTAGTTGAGTTCCTTCCGCCAACAATGATCGAGATGACAATTAAGGGAGAGCTAAAGGACGAAACGGTACATGCTCAAGATACCCCAATTTATCAATCAGTCTCCAGGCTATTATTCGTGCCGGAGAAAAGCTGCACAACTTTGCCAAGCAATGGTAAAGATAACCTAATTTAGGATATGTTAGGAAAATATTAAAAAGGGAAGAATATCAAATTAACACACTGGCATTACATTCACTTTTATTAATATGGAAGGTACGGTTTCACCGAGTACACAGTCCTTTCAAGAGTTTTATTACATCTACTGTGAAATAAAAGTAGCATGGTCTTCCCAGCGTTTACGCAGAATTACAAAACGAAAGCAAAATACAATTAAATAGAAGCATTATAAGTGTGATGCTAAACTTTAATAAAACTTCTCGTCTTATGCAGCAAAAGGCACAAAGATCTTCCTTGACGTGAGATGCATCAAGTATAACAAATGAACAAATTTGCATTGAGTTCCTGGTAGGAAATCGAAATTCTATTACTTTGTCCTGGCTAATGTTGACACAATTGAGATTTCAGCTGGAGCTATATTCTCAGGCAGGACTTGTACAAGTACACTAAGGTACACAAAATTGGGCGTCACTTAACCATTTACACGTAATATGGAACCTGTGCACATACGTGTTGACTGCCAACACTGCAACTGCTGAGAGTAAAAGGGAAGAGGGATCACAAATACAAATTTTATAACACCCTCAGTTACATCTGGTGACCTCAGACTTGACCAACCGCATTTCATGACTACGGTAAGGTGTCATGGGGTCGAATGCGTAATTACAAGTTTAAATCACTAACCGATCATAATCCCAGGCTAGCGCAACAAGTCCTTGGATGAAATGCATGTGGTTTCGTTGACCGCTATTTCTGCCGCCTGATGTTCTATCGGGTCCTACAAATGAAATGTCACTAATATCTATCGAAAAAAACTTGTCAGAGTTATTGAGCATAAATATCCGTCTTCCATCCCAGAGCGTAAAATCAGGCTTTTTTTAGCAACAAAGGGAACCTAGAAACTCACTACTATTTACTTTTTAAAATAAACTATACAAGCTGCTTTGATGATAAATATTTCACTTCGATTTCGCCCTGTCTATCAGGGGCATTTCCAGAAATACTTTGAACCTCCATCAAATTATCATAGATCTTAGCTTATTCAATGATGAATCACAGAAGAATTTGGAACAAATCATAGGATAAGGCTTGCATTTTAGGACTAATAGGTTAAATGCATGCAAATCAACAAATACCGGATTATATGCTTAACTGGTTTTACTAACTGGTTCACTAGTAAAGTGGTATTAAGTGCACTCGTTATGCTCTGGTCTAGACCACTTAGCCCCAAGTGGTAATTAAAGCCAATTATCAAAGACAAAAATATGTGCTATGACGATATTTTAATTCAAGTGATAAAAAAAGAAGACGAAATTCCAAAAATAGCATTGCTTTCATCCAAATCTCTGCTTAAACACCTATTGTTTATTTAACATGTAATTTCTACTTTAAGATGTGCTTTTCCTTATCAAATGCGTTGCAATATTAGCCAAGAGGTCAGTAGAAAGTAGAAGGAAAGCTGAACACAGACAGTCGTTTAAAGCCTAAGCTGCAGACCTCAAATTACATTGGGCTCGGTCTGGCCCCCGTGGTGCTTCGAAGATCCAACGCCATGTGCAAACACACAGCGAGGTAAGCGTTGCGACTCACCTTGCTCACTCCAACCATAAAACAATTCCATCCCTGTGTGATACTTCCAAAGAAGCAGTAACGCGATAGTCCGCCGCAAATATCGCTAAAGGGGTGCGTTGTGTGATGGAAGGGTTTGTAGCGCTATAAAAGCATTTCAACTTGTGTAGCTACGACAAAGATACCATCTTTTTAATGGTTTAAGAAGCAAATCGGACGCTGAATAGGCTGTTATTTTATAAGTTTAGATAAATTTTTTGTTATTCGCCTGACTCAAAATCGGTTCCCTTTTTATTACTACCTTTTTGAGGAATTGGAAAGACCGAAAGTATCTGAAGGTAACATAAGGCGACACTTGTGGAGTATGGAAAGCCTAGGCCACCAAATAAATTGTCTGGATGAAAGGTTCATCCCACTAACTGTCTACTACCCACAAATTTTGATACCATTCAAGGGCTGTGACATTTCAGAAACAAACATTAAGCAGTCCAAGCATGTGTTGCTGAAAACTGTGTATTTAACTTTGATTATGAGCTTGAAACTAAGGTTTTCTGCACTAAGAATTCTGAAACCCTCCCTGTATATTGCAATGATAAGTGACCGTGATGCAAATAAGTGGTACCGATTTCAGCCTATATCAATGCATTTATGCAATCGTATTTTACATTACTATTTATTTTTAAGCAACAGTACTAACCAAAATGCACAGTAACACACTTCTAAAATGTGCGAAGCGAATTCGTGCGGTGTCCATTTCCGAAAACAATCTCATGGACATTATCAGACAAGTGTATTAATTTAAAGTTGATAAATGTTCACGCTAGCACTAAAATTACTCGATGAAAGTACAAAGTAATTAAGGCCGCAAGCCTGTTTTGAATAAAATAGACCTTGGAAAAAATAAGCAACACTTCAAATTATAATAATTTCTCAACGCAAACGCACAGTGGAGGGAGTAGCAGAGGAGAGGAGGGAGGAGGAGGAAGAGGGAGGACAAAAAGAGCACGAATGCACAGGCAGAACTGAACTGACGAGGGGAGCGGTATAGATCGAGAAAGGGAGGCTAGGAAATTCAACGAGACATGGCGAGAGAGGGAGAGAGAGCGGTAGAACAAAATAGACAAGGAGCATGCAAGCGCACATAAGGAGAAGTCGTGGTGGTGGTAGTGGTAGTAGCTGAGTATGCAATTAACTGGGCATATATATGTACAAGTGTGGACGGCTGAGTGAGAGAGTGGAAGGGAAGGGGGCAAGAGAGAGTCCAAGCCTTTTATATTACCAAAGAACACACTTATTTGGGGGGTTCATGCAAGATCCTCGTGGACACGAGAACGCTTCAGCAAAGTCGTCCGAATTTGACAGTGTCCCTATGACCCTATAAACCAAGGAATCGAAGATAAAAGTGACTTTTCACCCAATTGATAGACTTTCACCATTGCACCAAAACAGTTATTTATTTGGTCGGGTAATTAATTTTCATGCTAAAATGAACCCTCTACTGGCGCCGTGGATGCTTGGCGTTTTGTAAACGGAGGTGGATAGCAGACTCGCCATTTTCAATTAAGGAGGTTTCTTATGATGACAGCAAGTGTGTCTGATATTCACTAGTAGGGAAAGGTGTATGTAATGTGGAAAGAAAAGGAACAAATTTTATTACCTGTATCGTTCAGGTGCGTGAACGTCAAACATGACCGTATGCAGTGCAGCCTGGGGTAATTGGCGTTTGCACCAAACCTGCAAAAACACGCTAAGAAAGTAGTTTTTTTGCGACATAATTAAAAATAGGATTTCGTTATCGTTTTAACTTTACCGTCCATGGAGTCTGGTATTTTAGCAAAAAGGAAACTTTAAACTTTTGTGCCGTTCGAAGGCACTTCAAATAGTGTGCCTGTAGTGCGTATGGCGCTATCGTTATGCAAATAAGCAAATACTGAGGAGACCGGATATCTTGGACAATAGACATGGTAAATAGGGTTCATTTAGCAACTATTTTAATAAGCGAAAATTTTAAATTATTTAAAATTTGTTTACGCTATTCCGTCAGTGGTATTTGATTTTATTGAAAGCGTTTTAAGTGGAGCAGTGATTAACGTGATTGTACAACCACGTTTATACAAACTTGACTGACAGAGGCTTTTCTCCATTCTTTGGGCACGAGGCGCTAATTTCAATTTTGTTTCTTTTTTCCCTTGATTCTGGTGCTACATTGGTCTATGCCTTAACCAAGGAGGTAAAAATGGATGGCAGTTAATTCAACGTCTCATACTACGTAGGCAGCATTCCACGTAGTGTTTAAAAGCCATGATTTCATTTATGGAGAGTTAAAAGGCAAAAAATTACTTAACTTTTGATTAGCCTATTAAACTAAGGCTAGTTTGCGTTCACCCTTAACTATATTCAATCAAAAAGTAAAAAAGTACGAAATCCTATTCAGTAACCTGAAAAGCCTGCATTGGATTATATTGCTCTTCATTGACAGTGAACACCCAAGAGAAAATGGTAAGGGAGAGAAATTTATGGTGAGATTTGTGGATTGGACAAATATTTTGGATTCGAGGTTGGGAGAATTATATTTGCCAAATTAATTCATTAACAGGAGAGTACTGAATACAAGACTTCTCAACTGTATCGAAACCACCGAAAGTGGTATTTGAATGTTAGACAAGTTAATCAACTCCCGTCCGATATAAAGGTTCGTACTGCCATATATATAGCTAAAAACGAAATCTACTTCTCTTATTTAAACTCCCCGTGTAAATTTTGCGCTTCTTTCACTATGGTTTTTTTTCCCTTCTCCAGGCATAAGTGTCTCAAGCAATTTTACCCAATTGTGTACCTTACTTAGCGTGAAAGAAGGCGTGGAGAGTATTTTTGCCTTCCATCGAAACATTGGTGTTTCAACAATTGTAATTACTTAGGGCCGTTTCTTGAAAAAACATGTTATGCTAAGGTCAAAGTATCTATTTGCATACAGCCAAACATACTTTAAAAATTTGCATATCTATGGGATTATCATGTTGTCCTTAAGGTTGCGCGAAAAAATCATCATAATGACGAACCTGGGCAAACGAGATGAAGAAGAGTTGATTGAATGTTAGGTTTATGCCTGGCAGTTTATGGGGTGCACCTTCCTCCCCTTGTAGCTTGAGGAAAGCCTATAATCGAGAGGGATAGAGGTCTTCATAATAGCGCAGACTTTCCCATTGGCAGCCTCGTAACAGGGAGGCTCGATTCACCTACCCGATAAGCTGCTTTTATTCCACCATTGTCTGCGATATTCTCGCTAAGCGTTAGGTGTCCATCAACCTATGCAAAGGACGGAGACGTTACCTTGTGTAGGCTTAAAAGGTTGCGAAACCGCACAAAAACTGTAGCATTAGTGGTTATAAGGGGAAGTCCAGGGAGAGAGGAGGAAGAACCAATTAGCATACATTCTTTCCCTGGACCGTGTAGTTGCCATACTGGCGCACCATACATTCACTATTTTTCTCAAAATCGGCTCGTGTGCTTTCGCTCCACCATTGACGCAAATTGCCCTTCGCATCGTACTTCGATCCTAGAAGAAAAGTACAGACGTTTAAAATGTTCGACACAATAAAATCACGATCCATAAAATTCCAGCACTGTAAAGCAAATTGTTATTGTGATAGCTTACCTTGCCTGTCAAATGCGTGAACAATTTCGTGACCAACCACCACTCCAATTCCGCCATAGTTAAGAGCAAGCGGATAGTAGGCATCATAGAAGGGTTTTTGTAAAATACCCGCGGGAAAGTAGATGTGGTTTTCCCGGGGATTGTAGAAGGCATTCACAATGTGAGGAGCCATGTCCCATCTGCAGAAAAAAAATTAACATAGTGACTGGAATATCGGCCACCTTGAGGACAATCCAGAAAGATGAAAATTCAAGCTGATTGCTTTGCCTCATGGTTAATGTAAATTAATGAGCGAGCTGAAGTACAGAGAACGGCTCCGGAGTATGTGTATGCTTATGCCTATGTGTGCGTGCACGACTTTTGTAATAAATAACCAGAAAAAGGGGATTTTCTTGTTTCCGACCCATTGCAAAAAATCAAACGAGGCGTGACAACTTGGCTGCATTGGTGTATCAAGGAGACAGGAGGTGAGAGAAAAATCACTTGTCACTTCCATGAGACCCGTTTTTTCCACAGGCGATATACAGTTGTGCAAAGAAACAAATATTAATTGAAAAAGGTTATGATCACACGTACGTTTTTAGGCTTTCATCGAAGAGTTTTCGCAACAAAATGAGCGCCTTTGATCGGGCCAAAGTAAAGCTGTTGTCAAGAAAAGTGCCATTGTCCAGCGAATCCTAAAAACGATTTATAAAGTCTTACAACTAGGAATTTTCAATCTCTAGTTTAAGTTAAGTATAATTAATTTCTTGTAACTCAAATGCCACACTACAAAAGTTGATATCCTGACTATAACGGATTCAAAATTTACCTTGCTGTAAATTCACGACTGGATTAATGAAGAGGACGGAGCAACTCACCACTGCAAAGAACGGCTTGTTCTCCTTCTCAATATCATTAATATCGTCAGGATAACCAATGGAGTCGCCCATCATGTCAACCTAGGCGAATGAGATAGTATAAAATTTGTAAACGGACCTTCTCCTCGGCGCCTTTTTTTGCCTTGTCGTCCATCCAATCCACCTGGTAAAAGGAACTCTTAAAGGCCTGCTTTATTTTTCCAATCATTTTCGTTGCCTAGATGGAGAATGATGATCAAGCAGGGGACATGGAATAAATTTACCACTTCTTTGCTTCGCTCATCAAAGTGCTGGGCCACGAATTTTCTTGCAATTGTCATCCCAAAGTACTCCTCTGTGTTGCGCACACACGATAACCAACGCTGAGGCTGTTCCTTCACGCCTTTATTAATGCGAATGGTACAGTATTACCAGCTCGGTATAGTAAACTCAGTAAAGAATTTAATAAAATTAATAATAATAATCGTAAGAGATTGCGGTTTTCAAGAAAAAAAACACTTTAAATGTCATAAGTAGGAGCAGTAGCAACGAAAATGATTCTAACTGGGTCATTTATTATCCCTGAATTGGGTGGTACTGTGCCTCAATCTTTCAAAATAATAACCAAATCATACAAAATATGGTTTTATTTGATTGTGCGGATTACAAATTCATGAACAGTATTCCGAATTGACGTCGAATAATTAATACAATGGGGAAATGGATAAAAATGAGACTTGCCCAATCAGTAATAATTAATGCACTGCAATCAAAAAAATTGCTACTGGAAGCGAAATGAAGTCTATTCTCCTACATTCTACGAAGGAGAAATAAGAATATTTTTACTAACCTGTACTAGCCTGTTCATATACTTCAATTTCCTTGCGGAGCGTAGATGGCATAAAGGGTGTTGTTGACCACAGAGTTCTCCAAATTGCAGTGTCATGGACTACTCTGCAAGTTATTAAAAGCCAAAGTGTAATTGCCAGACTGAAGTTCGTAAGGTGATAATTTAGACGAATTTCAAGGGCTCATTATTACAGCGCTATATGTACCGCTATACAATGGAGAAATACATCCACATAAGTACCTTTGAATCCATTTCAAAAAGTGGATGGAGATCTAATTTTTAGCTAAAAAGACGAAATAATACTGAAAGAAACAAAATCAACCTAGCCGAACTCTCATTTACCAATCCAAGAAAAATATGACCTGAAACGGGGTAGGTGATGAAGCTACTGAAACGAAAAGCAGCTGTTACCGACTAGATTGAGCGGATATCTTCCTTTTAAATAAACAGGTTTTGGAATACTCAGTCCAGTAATGCGTTAAAATGTATTTTTCATGAACCCGTTTCAAATAAAGAGCTTAAAACATCGCACTGTGAGATGCTCATTCGAGCTACTGGAGGATGCAACTTACCTGATTTTCTCTGCAGAAGCCATATACTCAGCATAGACTTTACAACGCTTTTCAAAGAAGGGATAATCTCCAATGATGACCGTCTCGGAGTCCGTGATGGAGTAGTTAACTGCACTAAATAGGCCGTTGAATAGACGTTTCCAGTCAATCTCCACAAGCCCAAAATTGATAAAATAATGAAAGTTAATTCAAAGATCGACTCATGAAATCACCCCTGAATCATGTGAGAATTAGTACCTAGTAAATCCGAATAAAACACCTTTTTCGATAGTTTATTAGCCCATAGCTGGCTTAGTTATGATTTACTTATTTTAAATGGGTAAACGTAGTTTTCAAACTGAATGAGTTATCGATATGTAACGTACCACTTGACAAAAATTCTGTAGTTCAGTCATATTCAACTTGAAAAAGTTTGTTTCAATGCTCTGACGAGCTCTTGGTTCCATGTTCTAAAATTCCAAGTTCAAATGACTTGATTTTACTGAAAAGGAGGGTTGGTAAGGCGCAAAATCGTTCGTTGCCCACCTGTGCCATCAACGTTTCCAACTCATAAATAGCATCCATGGCTAAGAGCTCAGGTTCCGCAACACCCAGCATTCTAGCATAGGTGCGCATGAACTCTCGAAAGTGCTGAACCACCTGAAAGGCAAAATTCAAACAAACATTTCAGTTCCATTTGCTTACTTGTTCGCAAATGAGTAGTATATGCTCCCACCAGCTCAAAGCATTTGCATAAAGTGGCGGAGGCACATTATTCTAGTTTAGCAGACTTCTTCAAGTAATTATTAGATTAATTTACATCATTCCTCGACGTACTATGCGTTTTATTTACTGAAATGAGTTAATTAATAGGGCCATTCTGATTACTTTATTAAAAACAAGTAGTATTAAGTGCAGTTAAAAAAATAATCAACAAGACTGCCCGAAATTAAGCATAGGTGTTTGTGAAAGGCACGTGCACTTGCCCTTTTAATTTTGGCATCTGAAGTGTCGAGATAGTATTCTGGCAGCATACTGAGTTCGCCTGGTGCAAGCTGAAACAAAGCACATGACAATTCACCTCAAACCACTGAATCATCACAAAGGGACTGGCTTCACTGAAATTTCGCAAATTGTAAAAAGACTTGCTCAATTAGGTTTTTTTGCACATTTACTTTCTAAGACAAATGAACTTAGTGATCACGCCCCATCCCTTCAACATCCAAGAAAATAAATGTGGATTGGCAGACGAATTTATTGAAGAATTGAAGTGAATTTTTTATGATTTCTGAATGGAATAATGAAAGGATATTTTAATTGGCTTAATCGTTAGATCAAAAGATCACTGAAAGTTGTAAAAACTACCTTAATTAAGTAGAAAGATGTAAATTTCGGGGTTAACTAAAACAATCCGAGGCCTCAGCACGGTGGAAAACCCGGCCTTTCTAGTGAGTGGAGGAATCAACAAACCTCGTTGTCTCAGTGTGTGGGCTTGGAATGGGGATAATATTTCATTCCACTGAGCGCATCGTATACAAATTCAGTTCATCTAATGTGCGAGCACAGGATGTAGCTGGCATGTAATTTAATACGCAGTAAGCAAGATCACCGACTCCTAAACGTAAGCCTTACTGAAAAAGCATTTCGTCCAAAATATATAAAATATCATTCCTGTGAATACTGACGAAGGTGATTTTGGTAAGAAGCAACTTATGCATTAGAATTTTCAAAAATCATCAAAGAAGACCAAATTTGATCAGCCAGAAGCCCAAAGAAAAAAAATTTACTTTGTATATTATTTAAAAAGACAAAAGCTGTCGCATTATAGAACTCTCGTAATCTTAAAGTTTTCCGTTTAAGTGACTATAGCAGCGTCGCGAGGACAGCAAAGTTAGTGGCGTAAATGTGTTGCAGTGAGAGAATAAGGACAATTGACAGTTTTGGTAGAAGATCTCAGTCGATTTATTCTTCACCTCAGTATCAGTACATTCAGTTTGAAAGTGCAAAAAGATAGCATTACTTTTTAGTTACTTTACAATATTTGAGGGCAAAAACTTATTAGAAGAAAGTAATCATCATAATGGCAACACTTACTTCTAGAGAAAATTATGTGTAAATAGCGAACCAAATGCGAAATACAAAAGGGGGTTTTACAAATCATCGCTTTTCAATTAGACCCTATAAATCACAAATTTAAAATTAACAGCCCTGCTAAAGGGGTTGTTTAATTATCGAGTTCAAGAGATAATCATAAGGCAGTGAAATAACTGCATTTTCAATTAATCTCTCTTACAATATAAACAAGAACATTCAAGGGGCTTTAAAACAATTAACCCACTGTAATGGCATATCGTTGAGAGTTTCGTGGATCCTTCTCAATCAGGAGTTGGAAGATGTCTACTCCATGGCCGAAGCGTAGGAAGGTCTGAACAAGCGCCGTGAGGTCGTATTTGCCTACACCAAAGACATCTTCTCCACCGTCCGAACGACCGCCCTCTGTGTTCTCGGGCAGCAGACGCCAGCCCCCGAAGAGTTGTGTTAATATCAACTTGATCGGCTTCAAACCGAGATTATTTACGGCCTGTTCGTTGATACAGGAGGCAAAGTAGGTTTTCGCCAACTGCAGACCTCGGCTATCGTTTGGTGTAGCTTCCTTTTCTACAGATCAAATGTGGGGATGAAGCGGATACAATTAAATGCAAGAGTGATCACGCCTCATTGGTAATGCTGTCAATGCTTCTTCCATTCTTCACTACCTGTATCGTCAGTATTTTCTACAGTTATTTTGAAAAGCTGGCTTCTTTGCACTTCAGTTAACCAAATTAAAATTTTGCTAGACTTTCAGCTAAATAACCTCGATTAACTCGCACAAATGTTAAATAACTTGGGGAATTCTTCAAACTTTGTGATGATCATCCTTAAAAGTGGTGTTACATAAGCCAAAATTCGTCAAACCCATTTTTGATTAAGGGTTATTTCCATCAAATATGTGAAGAACTAGGCATTTACCCTTGGATTTATACACACAGCTCTTAAGTAAATTTGTCAATATGACAACAAATTGTCAAATTCATGTGCAAGCATGAAAATACCTCCAGTCAGTGATCGAGCACATCTATTTTAATGCTCGTTGGTGGAGCTCCAAGACGGCTGATGCCCATCAACAACTTGGTATTATTGTTGGTAGAAACACTTCTACTCCGCTCACTTGACACTTCCCATCCGTATTGAAATGCATCTTCTCATTTACTTTTATTCGTTTCGAGGTTTTCACTTGCCCACTGATCCATCATAGAAGCCAAAACTTAACATTTTCATTAACTATTTACCTACTTAGCATTGCTTGCATATTTTTAATTTATTAGCGGAAATTCTAGCTCATTTTATGTCCGCAACAAATAGTTGTGAAAGTGAATTAGGCGAACAATTGTTGAAGCGGTTAGCTTGGAGGAAAAGGAACAGAGAATTGACGTCGCTGTTGCCAAACGCTGAGCCTTATACCAGGGGAAAAGCGTTAGATCATAATAAAGGACAATTTCTCACCAGCATTTTTTAAATTTAATTTTAAAAACATATATAGGTATGCTTTTTTCCGAAATTCCACACCCCAAGAATACGCGCACAATATGGAAAACCGTTCCTTTTGGGAGAACTGCATTACAGAGGCAGTACTGCCTCTCATAAAAAGTCGGGTTTCTCATCAAAAATATTAAACAGCAAATTACACAAAGATTGTGCAAGAAAACACTCCTCGAAATTTGCCTGGATTGTTGGAAAACAAAAGTTTCCGATTGGTTAAACATGCCGTTCTTTAAAACCCTTGAGCAACTCTTCAGATTCTTAAAGAATCATTATGCATTCGATGCATTAAATGGGATTAAAAGTACTCATCGGTTTATGGGTTGCTAGAATTGGACGGATGTTTTATTCACCAACGTTGTCACAACCAGCCAGAGCCTTGAGATTGAAATGAACCTGAAAATTTGTGAAGAGAGTATTTTTTTAAACACTCTGATATTTGACAGGCATGACCGAAACACCTCCCTGTCACTTACATTTCCTTGATGAATTCCACAGGAGGTCTGATGACCCACTCTTCATGCGATAACCTAGTTACTTCCAATTTAATCACGCCATCTGTCAATCATCGCAAAAATCAGTTTAGTAGTGCTTCAAAATTTTTATTTTATCTATTTTATTTCCATTTTTTTATTATGCAGGGTTTGTCCTTTGTGGATTTGCATATCCTTTTTTAACCTTTCACAAGTTCCAGCATTACCTTACTTGCCTCAACTGCACACCGGTTGTTTACATTAATCATTACGTTGTTTATATTAATAAAAGGAGATAATTAGGTTCTGTACAACGGTTGAGGGAGTGGGCATTTGATAGGCATTTTCGCAAGAAGATGGGCAATCGAGCTTACTGATTTGTGTTTGCCTATTTTAAAATAGAGATTTTCATCTTTTGTAAACATTGTTTATTATGAAAAAATGGACCCTGTTCAGTAATAGGGAGGATCAATAGGTAAATGTATTAAAGAATGAATATATCAAAGGGCTGGGAATGGAGTAAATATTCACATTAATATTTATTTGATTGTCACATTAAAGAGTTTTTAGGAATGGGATTGATATCGACAGAGCAAGGTTGGATAAAACTTCTGTTTATGTTACTGATTGACATTAGGAATTGCTCGGCTTAGAGTGCAGGGGGTTAGGAAGAAACCTGTTGACTGAAAGGAGGA